CAGTTCTATAAATATGTTTTAGTTGTATCAAAATGTGGACAGAAGATTGAGTAAATTGACAATTATATCATAGGTAGCAAATAAAAGAGGCTGAATCCTGATTTTGATTACTAAAACATAAGCCCTGTCTGACTTTGATAACCTGTGATTCTTCTAAACTGAAAAGCACTATCGCCAGGTACATCAGCTATGCAATCAATGTTGTTTTTGTTAGTAACACATTCTGTTATTTCATCTCACCTTTCAATCTCCTCTCCTAACAAGAGAAGGATTTCCATAAAGTGGCCTGACAATCATGAAGTTAGGATTCTAAAGGTTCTTAGATCTTCCAGTTCAATCTATATATTTTCTAATATTCCTCTCCAGGTATATTTTTATTATAATAAAATTCATGTAACTTAAAATTCTCCTTTTTAACAATTTTACTGCATGCAGTCAATGACTATTGTTACATTCACAAAGTTGTGCAATCATCACCATTATCTAACCTTAGAACATTTTCATCATCTCAGTAAGAAACTCCATATCTATGAAGCAGTGACTCCATTTTACTCCTTTCCTCCAGCCCTTGCCACCATTACTTTCTGTCTCTATACTTTGCCTCTTCTACACCTTTCATATATATGAAATTATGCAATATGCATGGCTTCTTTTGTCTTGCTCCTTTTACTTAGCATAATGTTTTCAAGACCCACCTATGTTGTAGAATCTATCAGTACTTTATTCCTTTTCATACAAGAATGAGATTCCATTGCATGGATACACCCCATTTGTTTATGCATTCATCTGCCAGTGGACACCGAGATTGTTTCCATTTGGAGCTATTGTGAACAATGCTGCCATGAACATTCATGTAAAAGTTTTTGTTTCAGTCATAGCACATTTAGATGTTCTTTCTAATATTTAGAAGACCTGATATGAAAAGGGCATAAAAATTGGAAAGTTGATTGTATGCATTCCTTTCTGTTTTCTGAGATAGTAACAACCTTTCAGCAACAGAAATATAAATGATTTGTATTTGATTTGAAATGCATTCATATGCCTCATACCTGGAAATTTTAGTAAAAATGTTTGTAATTAAAATACTGTTGCTGCATGCCATTATTATCATTATGTGCTCTTAAAATTACCCATAAATTCAAAAGGAAATTAATATAAGGATTAATTCAATCTAACAATAGTTTCACATTAAAAAGAGAAAATAATTAGTGCAAACTTTAATGAACAGATTCTACTACTTATGACTGGAAAACACAGAATCATTTCCTAAAGTTATGAGAATGTTTGAGCACAGATAAAAAAATTTTTCAGATGTTGTACAACATCCAACCTTCTTAAAAAATTCCAAATAGTATACCTCAACAAATTCTAACATTTGTGTATGGACAAGAAATTCTTGACTTAATGAGTCAATTAGTGTATTACTAACTCTCAGTCATTTGTAAGTCAACGTCTCACATATGAAGATATGACACGGTAATTTTTGTAATAGTTCGTAGTCTATCATGACTACCCTTGTAAGGGGAGCCCACAAGTCATATTATAGTTTGAGAATGGTTCTTTTAGTCTAAGCTAGTTTATCTTATTATTTTATTATTTTACTGTTTTCATTTTTAAAATTAAGTTTATTAGGATGACAATGGTTAATAAAATCATATAGGTTTCAAGTGTGTCATTCAATAATATGTCACATGTGTATTGCATTGTGTATTCACTACCCAAAATTTAATTTCCTTCCTGTTTTTGTACCATTTTTGAAATTTTAAACTTAAAGAATTGTTTTCAAAAATATTACAAGGTCTCCACACACCCTTCTCTAGCATCACAATTGTGTACATTTTGTACTTCTATATGTAATAATATGTAATTTGTTAGATATTTTAAGACTATGTAAATATCTTGCTTCCTATGAAACTTTCATCCACTAGTTTTAGCATCCATTGATCATTTGCTAACTTAATCATCATTTCTATATTGATTAGTCATCATATTTTACTATAAAGATGATTTTTTTCTCTCTTGTGAATATTACTTACTTATTATAAAGCAGTATTGATTCAAGGACTCTTATTTTATTCAACTAAGTTATAATCTGTTCATATCATCATTTATGTTGATATGCATATTATCCAAATATGGTGAGTCAGAGCCTCTTCTAATTAGCTTCTGAACTTTTTTTATACGTACTCTTCATTTTTTGAAACTTCCCTAAAACAAGGTAATTTCAGCTCTCTTATATTTTCCTTGATCCAGCCCTGAACAATATAGTCATTTCTCTGAGGATCTCAGGTTCTTTTTAGGTAATAATGATGAACAATATAGTCATTTCTCTGAGGATCTCAGGTTCCTTTTAGGTAATAATGATGTGGATACTGGTTATGTTGGTGGGTTATTGCTTATAAGCCCTCTCAAAAGACAGTGTAGATATGTGTGTGTGCATATAAGTATACAGTAATATACAGAATGCTTAAAAACTTCCTGTCTGTGTTTGTAATTTCTTACTCCTACAATGAGAAACTTTGGTATCATTTTCTTCAATGTAACACTTGCATAATCTTAGACTACACACAAAGCAATGACAGAATCGATAATCTGTATAACACTAAAAAGCAAAACTAATATCCAGAATTCAATTTTTTTTAACAATTTTTAAGTAAAATTTATATCCACTGCAGTGCACAAATCTTAAGTACTCAATCTGATGAGTTTTGAAAAATACAAGCCATATTTTTATTAATTGTCAGGAGAAATCAATTAATTGCAGGTTTCTACTGTGAGTTGCGGATTCCTTTTATATGACTTCCATAGGGAAAAAAAATGTCAGTTGTAAGCACCCACATGCCAGAAGACCACCATTAAAACTTACTTCAATGCTTTATTGCATAAAGCAACCAGTTTCTATGCTCACAGACTCTGTCATCAGGAATTTATACAAAGTACAGCAGGTCTTGTTTCTGCTCCATGATGTTTGAGACCTCATATGGAAGACTTGAAAACTGAAAAATGGAGTCATCTTAAGACCCCTTCACTCACATGTATGTCAGTTGAATCAGGCTGTCAGTTTGAGGCCTTGGGTTTTTTTT